GTCCTGGGATCGAGTCCCGCATCGGGCTCCCTGCTCCTTGGGAGCCTGCTTCTCCCTCTGCTTCTCTCTCTCTCTCTCTGTCTCTCATGAATAAATCAATAAAATCTTAAAAAAAAAAAAAAACACACAAAAAAAAACACTGACTAAATGCAAGCACACCATGACATATATCCTTGCAAGTGCTGCTCCCTTGGGATATAGGCACTCCAATAATGTTACCCACAACGTTTTGTGGCATAAGAAAGATAAATGCTGTTTTAAAAATAGTGCTTTAGCAAAAGCTTTACAGAACTTAGAGTACATTCTTTTGAATATTCTCAATAGTAGAAACTTCTGCGCTTAGAATGAATTGTTTTGGAAAAAACCCAGAAGAAACAGTTCAAGGTAACCCTGGTAACCCCATTGTGGGTGAAAAAGGAAATGTCACTACAAAATGGGAGTTTATAAGAAGCTTTGAGGCCAGTTCCAAAGGAGGCATTCCAAAAATGTTTTAAGCAAGAGCTGTACTGGAGCAAACATACTGCTTACTTCGGGGGCTACTCTGAATGATGACATTCTTTTAAATGTCCAAGTTCTATCATACCTGGTTTTTTTTTAATCAGTCTCACTAATTCAAAGTAAATCACAAACGTAGTGAACTATTTCTTCAATTCTGATAAAGCAAAACATGATATTTATTATCACTCTGCCAAGAACAGAAGAATTGAGATCATGAAGTCCTGTCTCCAACAATCTATTAGAAAACAGAATTAGGCCTTAATGGAACACATTCATCTGTCACCTCACGAACAAGGAAAGAGGCATGTAACAAGTAAAATGAACCTCGGACACTGTAAACCACTTTGAGAGTGGAACCTAAAAGATGATTAACCTTATTAGGTAGCAGTTAGAGTTAAGCCTTCATTTAGCCAAGGAAGCTTGGAGGCCAAGTTGGCAGAAAGGATATATTACACCTGAGGTAATTCTAGAGCAATTTTAACTTTTATTGAAAACTGAAAACCACAGAAAGCAAATTATAGCTCACACCTGAACAATGCAGGGGTTAGGGGTGCCCCATGCAATGGAAAATACAGGTATAACCTTTGATTCTCCCAAAACTTTACAACTAATAGCCTACTTGACTAGAATCCTTATCAATAATATAAAGAGCAGATTAACACATATTTTGTATATGTATTATATACTGTAACCTTATAATAAAGCAAGAGAAAAGAAAAAAATCATAAGGAAGAGAAAATACATTCACAGTACTGTATTCTTTTTAAATCCATGTGTAAGTGAATCCATGCAATTCAAACCGGTGTTTTCAAGGGTCAACTGTATAATGCTGTGCAGTGCAGATAGGCACACCTTCCAGGAGAGCACTGAAGGACCATGAGTAATGGAAACCATGTGTGTTCACACCTATATGCTGACTGTATGTGGTTACGGAAAGTCTGCACTCTAGAAGATAATAAAATACCCAAAAACCACCACCCAGAACTAAGAGATCTTAACACAAAGTTGAACTCTCCTTTCCTAATCTTCCCAGGCCCTTCCTTCCTTCCATCACTAAATGCAAGCATTATCTTAAACTAGGCTAGCCTGTGATTTTTTTAACCTTTACAAGAGGCAGAGATAGTCATAAAGAATATATGCTATTGTTCTGTATGTTTTCCAAATTGTACATAAGTGGTTATCACAATGTTTGTTATGTTCTCCAACTTGTCTTTTTCACTCAACGTGTTCTCTTAAATCTGTGATGATACAGATTTACTTTTTATAACAAGTAAAAAAAATTCCGGGCTCCTGGGTGGCTCAGTCGTTAAGCGTCTGCCTTCAGCTCAGGTCGTGATCTCAGGGTCCTGGGATCGAGTCCCACATCGGGCTCCCTGCTCAGCGGGAAGCCTGCTTCTCCCTCTCCCACTCCCCCTGCTTGTGTTCCTATCTCTCTTTCTGTCAAATAAACAAGTAAAATCTTAAAAAAAAATTCCTACTGGTTGTCTGGCATAGCTTTTTTATAATTGGATCACATTTTCTTTTTAATAAAAACAACACAAATTAAACAGGTATTTCAGAAGAAATTATCAGAAAGAAATAAGCCAAAGAGTCAAAACTATTTTTTACCATCTTCTAAAATTAATGGCATATTTTAACTGTTTATCATCTCTGTTACAAATCTTACCTCAGGCTGTCCTATTCCAAGGAGAGAAATAGCAAGTCCATAGACTACTAAGACATAGTTAATCATGGCCAGGTTCAATTGCTGTCAATAAAAATGCTCCAGTTAAAAATCTGAACATAATTTTGCCCAACTTGCACCATACCCACCTGTTAGCCACAACAGAAAAAAAAAATGTAATGAAATCTCTCTAATTATGATTGGGACAAAGGCCAAACAGAATTAGAAAATACATTTTATAAAGATAATGCAGTTATACTAAAATCAAGTATTTAAAACACAGAACCATTGTCTCAGAGTTCCTTGAAGGGGTGGTTCATAGCAAATTAGAATAACCAAGTCGTCACGTTCTTTTGCATATAAGTGGGTACTAGTGACAGATTAAGACATTTGCTTACAATCCTGGATAAACTATGGACCTAGCTAATTCTTTCTGGATGAAAAGATGTGACTAAAGCCAAGTCCAAAACCTCGATTTAGTACTTTTGTAGAAGCAGCCAAGTGTTCTCATGAACACCAAGTAGGGAGCAAGGAGAGAGCCAGATACTGAGTGCAACCATGAAGACTGAATCAGAGTGTCACCTGCTTCTCACAGCCTGGGGCAGATTCAGCTAATCTCAGGTAGGCCTAAGGTACATTAATACAATGATGTTAAAGCCTTGGTTCTCCTCTACAAGCACCTGAAATGCACCTGCACTGATACACAAACTGTAAGACGGCACTTTTACCTTTATTTTTTGAGGATCTAAACCGTTGAGCAGCTCCGTGAAGGCCTGCGCAGCGCTTCGGCAGCGCTGCTCCAACAGAGCCGTGTAACCATCCTGGATCAGGCTCCTCAGCATCTTCATTATATTAGCAAAATCCTGCAGAAGAAGAAATTCTATTAAGTAACCCAGAGCTACGTGTGTTTAGCCAAAAATTTAAGATGCAAAGTTCATCATAGGGCAGTTATATTTTATAACTGATCACAAAATACGTAAATAAATACCCAAAGCTGCCCTTTATGTGTCATACTCCCTTCTCTACACAGCGTTTTTCCAGATCCCGCTTCACCATCTTCTTTCCAACATTCCTACTGCTACTCATGACAAGAAAGGGTAGTTCATTTTATGTTACATGGTTCTATGCCTTGCTCACTTTTCCAGATTGAAAAGATAGCATTTAGAAGTTTTAACAGCACAAACAGCACAGAGGACACCGGCCACCATTTAAATAACTGTATGGCTGACTAGGATTAAGTTAAGAACAAGCAATCAATTTACTGATCACTATCAGATTTTAACATCTACCCTCGTGCTCTGGAACAAACCTTAATTCTCAGCAAGAAAGGATATTTCAATCTTTGGCTCTACTTCTGCCCAACATGTACTTGAATAGAACTCAATAAAATTATCAGGGAAGATATTACAGGTTAAATGTAAAGGGAAGAGCATAAGAAATAAAAGACAAAAACAAAAGTGCTATAATATACCTTGAATAAAGTGAGAAAAAAACTTTATCTTTGGATATATATGCGAACTTGCACTACAATCTGAATTCAAGTTTAGTTACATGGCAATAGCCATCAGCCACAAAAGTTCCATAAAAACTAGACAGACTACAGATTAAACCTAGATTTCCTCACTCCTTGCCATACATGTGTACACCATTCAGGAAAGCAGAAAATGCAAATATGCGTGTGATATTCCTCACTGTTCCTAACAGTAAAGATCCAAAAGGAGGCCCCGTTGCACAAAGCACAGAGGGAAAAGCAGTTTGGTCACAATTAACAAAAGCTGTTTACTGGTTTTCATCCAATGAATCAAAGTTTAGGAGAACTTTCCCCCAGAATACACACAGAAAAGGGCAGCTCTCCCATAAACTTGGTATTTACTACAGTATTTAAAAAGCTCAAAGATAGCTCATATTTATGTTACGACATGAATTTTAAAAGTTATAGATGATGATGTGCTATCCCCACAAATAATAGTTATTAACCTTGAATGAACTGATTCCATTTTAATCTCTTTCACATTCTAGAAAAGAGAGACATATAACCTCATGTTTTCATTAAAAATTATTTCTCTCAGGGACGCCTGGGTGGCTCAGTCAGTTGGGCATCCAACTCTTGGTTTCCGCCCAGGTCGTGATCTCATGGGTCATGAGATTGAGCCTCATGTCGGACTCCGCATTCAGCATGGAGTCTGCTTGGGACGACTCTCTCTCCCTCTCCCTCTGCCCCTCCCCCTACTCACGGGCACATGCTTGCTCTCTAAAATAAATAAAAATAAATCTTAAAAAAAAAATTATTTTTCTCAGTACAATACAAAAAACTACCGTGGGGTACTAAAAGCTCCATAAAGTAGGCTGGGTTGCAGTGCCATATACCCAATCTCTCTCAGACTTCAGCACAGACAGAGGCCTAACCGAAAGTGTGTTGAATGAACAAGGGAAGGCTCAAAAATAACTATCATACTTATTTAAATCACCTCTGATCTTTCCAGGTTGTCTTTTCTATTCAAGTCCTTCACAGTTTTTTGTTTTTGTTTTTTTTAAAGATTTTATTTATTTATTTGAGAGAGAGGATGAGAGGAGAGAGAGAGCACATGAGAGGGGGGAGGGTCAGAGGGAGAAGCAGACTCCCTGCTGAGCAGGGAGCCCGATGCGGGACTCGATCCCGGGACTCCAGGATCATGACCTGAGCCGAAGGCAGTCGCTTAACCAACTGAGCCACCCAGGCGCCCGTGGTCCTTCACAGTTTTGAGAGTCAGTAAAATCCATGTAAAAAGACCTAATTTTAAAATCTCCAAATGTCAGAAATTCTAAAGATGCTTTTATGCAACTGATTAGAAATCTGTTTTCATAAACTGCTTGAAACATGCTTCATTCCTCCAGTCCTCTGTAAGGTATTTGTCATATATACCTAAAATAGTTAACCGAATTTTAAAATGACCTCCATATTAAAACAAATATTCTATTCCATATGCTAATACACATTTTTAGGAATGAAATTTAAATCCAATATTCTATTTTAGAAGAAATAAAACTGTGTTTACATAAAGGATTAATTGTCAAAGCAGACTCCTATGAATCATGTTTACCCAAAAAAAGACAATCTTTTACTTACTACTACATAGTCTACAAGTGTTCAATGACTAGAATAGTGACCAGCCATGGTTCTGTAAATTCTGGATTTTATCGAGGTTTCTATTTCTTCTTGAATCAGTTTTTGTAAGTTGGATTTTTCTAGGAATTTGTCCATTTCATCTATACACATTTTCAAACTTCTTGGTATGATGTCATTCAAGTATTTGTAATATTCAAGGATCTACAGTAATGCATCCTTGTTCATTCTTGAAATTGTTTTATAATGTTTTCTTTTCTTTCTTTCTTAATCAGTTGCAACACCAGTGTGTAAATTTTATTTATACTGGCAAAGAATCAACTGTTAGCTCTGTGGATTCTTCCTTGTATGTTTGTTTCCAATTCATTATTTTCTACTTTGATCTCTATTAATTCCTTCCTTCTACTTTCTTTGGGTTTATTTGTTTTTCTTTTTTTCTAGCTCCTGGGATAAATACTTCATTAATTTTAAAAGTTTTTGTTCTTTTAATACATACGTTTAGCTTGATAAACTTCCTTCAAAGTAATCCTTTAGCTGTATTCCTTGCATTTTTTAGAAGACTTTTTCTTTTTAGGTTTACAACAAAACTGAGAAAGAGGTACAGATATTTCCATATACCCTTTGCCTCCTCCCATGTATACTCCACTATCAATATCACTCATCAGAATGGTATATTTTACGTATCTGTATTTTTTATTGAAGTATAGTTAACATACAATGCTATACTAATTTCAGGTATACAACATAGTGATTCAACAATGCTAAACATGCAGTGCTCACCACAATAAGTGTAGTTACCATCTGTCATCAGCCAGAGTTATTACAATATTATTGACTATATTCTCTATGCTGCACTTTTCACCTCATGGTTACTTATTTCATAACTGGAAGTTTGAACTTTTTTTTTTTTTTAAGATTTTATTTATTTGATAGAGAGAGAGACAGCCAGAGAGGGAACACAAGCAGAGGGAGCTGGAGGGAGAAGCAGGCTTCCCGCTGAGCAGAGAGCCTGAAATGGGGCTCAAGCCCAGGACCCTGGTGTCATGACCTGAGCTGACGGCAGACGCTTAATGACTGAGCCACCCAGGCACCCCAAAGTTTGAACTTCTTAATCCCCTTCATGTATTTCACCCATTCCCCCTTCATCCTCTCCCTCTCCCTCCACACTGCCAACCACCAGTGTGTTCTCTGTATTTATGAGACTTTGTTTTTGTGTTTGTTCATTTGTTTTGTTTTTCAGATTCCAAATATAAGTGAAATCACATGGTATTTGTCTTTCTCTAACTTATTTCACTTAGTGAAATACTCCCTAGGTCCATCCATGTTGTCAAGAATGGCAATATTTTATTCTTTTTTATGGCTGAGTAATACTCTATTGCATATGTGTGTGTGTGTGTGTGTACGTACATCTTCTTTAACCCAAAATAGTATATTTCTTACCAAAGATGAACGATATGGATATATCCTAATCACCCAAAGTCTATAGTTTAACATAGGGTATACTCTTGGTGCCATACATTCTACGGGTCTGGATAAATGTATAAGAACATATATCTACCATTATAATAATATACAAAGAATTTTCACTGCCCTAAAAATCCTCTGTGCTCTGCCTATTCATTTTTTCCCCCTTAATGTATACTTTTTAATTAACTTCATAAATACCACAGAAAGAATTTTATATACAAAGTTATCTGATTACTGTTAAATCATTCAAAGAATAGAAAGTTTGCTCTTTAACAGCTTTAAGGTAGGTGTAATAAAACTGCACGTGCTTGAACCTTTTAAATTAATTTAAATCTTCTTACAATACTTATCTATTTTTTTAAATTTTTAAGTAACCTGTACACCCAACGTGAGTCTCGAACTCATAACCCAGAGATCAAGAGTCGCAAGTTCTACCAAGTGAGCCAGTCAAGTGCCCCTTAAAGTATTTATCTTAAAAGTTAAAACTCTGGAAAGCAAAGAATCCCAAATCTTTAAATCTTTGGGAAGCAAACAATTCTGCAGTATCAAGCATTAGTTCAATTTCTGTTTAAAGTGATTCTCAAGTTAATATCTAAATTAGTGATAGTTTGGTTTCTTAGCAGTCATATATAAAATCATATGTCCATAACTTAAATTATAAAAAATAAATCTTAGAGGTGTACATGATTAGACTTATATGAAAAATGTTTTGTTCAAAGACTTTGCTTTTTTCATTAGAAATAAGCCTTTTCCTTTACCTGGTGTGCAGCTCTGGAAGATTTAGAAAACTGTTTTTCCAAGATGTTCTTCAAATCTACTGGTAAACTCCCTTGTGAACTAGAACTAATAGAGAAAAGTGCTGAGTTATTTTAAAATAAAATAGTCTTGCTTATATAAAGAATATATTTACTGAAGGCCATTTTTTAAAAACTGAAGTAGAGTCGACATACAAACATTAGTTTTAGGCATACAGCACAGTTATTCCACAATACTATACGTTACACAAAGCTCATCATAGTAAGTGTAGTCACCACCTGTCACCAATCAACATTACAGTATTACTGACTATATTCCCTATGCTGTACTTTTCATCTCCATGTGAAGGTCATTTTAAACATTGAATAAATGGAGTCACAAGTTCCTACATTGAAATATTACCAAGAAGCTGATTCTCCCCAAATTAATCTCTAAATACAATGAAATCTCAATAAAATCCCTATAAAATTAGAGATGGAGGGGGACCAGATGAATTGATTATAAAGATGGTATGGAAGAACAACTTGAAGAAAAAAAAAGAAACTGCGGGGATTTGCACTGATCATCAAAAGTTATTATAAATGTAGTCATAACAACATAGCCTTGAAACAAGAAATGTGCCCAATAAACATTGCGAAGATGCTCCATCTCATATGAAAATCTAATAATAAGAGAACTGTTTCAGAAAGTCTGACTCCCAGTGCTAGTGAGGGTAAGGAAGATTCAGGTACCCTAGGTGGTATTTTCTGACACCAAATAGTTGTCATTTTCCACATCAATTCTCCAACACCAAGTGTCCAACAACTCAATTCCATTTTGACACCAACTCTGGAGTTAACACAGACCCCACAGGTTAAAGGCTCAGTCCCACAAGACTGACCCCACTTCAGACATAATGCCCTTACTGCTACTGTCAGCCACAATGAGGTGCTTAGGCTACCCACACTACTGCCTGATGGACTACAAACTCAGAGGTTCCTGTGACCCTCCCTCAGGCTCAACAACTCCCTAGAATGACTCACCGAACTCAGGAAAGTGCTCTACTTATCATTACTAGACTATAAAGGATATAATTCATAAGAGCCCAATGGAAGAGATGCACAGGAAGGTATAGAGGAGGGGAATGCTGCAAAGCTTTCATGCTACCCCAGATCGCACCACCTTCCCAGCATCTCCACGTAGTTAGCAACCCAGAAGCTCCCCTGCCCCAGCAGTTTCTTCTATCAAGGTTTCATTACATAAGCATGAATAATCATTACTAGTCATTGGTGACTGAACTCAATTTCCAGCCCCCTTCCCCTTCTTGGAGATCAGGGGGTGGGGCTGAGAGTTCCAACCCTCCAATCACATGTTTGGTCTTTCTGGTGGCCAACCACCCCAATCCTGAAGGTGGGGGACCAGCCTTGAGTCATCTCATTAGTATAGGTAAGGCAGAAAGAAGCTCATTATGAAGAACAAAAGATACTCTTATCACTCTGAAAGTTCCAAGGGTTTTAAGTGCTCTATGCCAAGAACTGAGGACAAAGACCAAATATATATATAATATATAAATATATAAATATATTATTTTATAATTATATATAAATATATAAAATATATAATAATTTATATAAATATGTATTTTTTTTATTATACCACACTCTCCCACAGCTCAGTAAGAGTGTGAACAGTGCTCATTTTCTGGCAGGACAATGTGAGAGTATCTAGCAAAGTTAAAATTACACATCCTCTTTGACAGAGCAATTCCATTCTAGAAATTTCTTCTTCAAATATACATCTATACTATGAAATATCCTGTAGCCATGAAAATGAAGGATGTTGATCTCCATGATCTGATATGTGAAAATATGCAGATACAGATAGATAAAAGATAAAGATAAAAGCAAGCTATAGGCCTGAATGGTCCTAACAACAATGAAAATGATAGTAGTAACAACAATGATAGTTCAAGTGTACTGAGCATTTACCACGTTCCAGGGCTCTGTTTCATGTAGTTATCCCACTTAATCATTAAATAACCTCATGAAGTAGACATAATCAAATAAGAAGACCTCAATTTGAAAACAAAAACAAAACATCGGAACATAAATTTTTCTTTAGCAGAACAGTTTAAAATTATAACTATGCGTTCAAAGAATGACCCTGCATGTTTTTGGTTTCTTTTGAGGGTTAACAGGGGGAGGGGAAGACTCAGGATTTTTCTACGGAATAAGAGAACAACATAGTATCTAAGCCCTTGCTTTAAATTTAATTTTTTGTAGCAGCATCAAAAAAACAGTCATTTTTTAAGATGGGGCTTTACTAATATCTCTTAGTGCTTTGATATTAAAATCCTTCTCCTTGAAGCACCTGTCCAGGAATCAGCCTTACGTGAATAAAAGAAAGCTGACAGCTGGTCTAACTGTGGCAGAAATGGTTTTGCAGGGTCTCCAGCATCACCTTCATTGACCTCATGAACTTCTATATTCATTGTAAGATTTACAATTTCACTTTGCAATCAGTATATATCTCTGTAGGCAATGGAGAGGTTAATTATAAAGACAGGTGGCACGAGGTCCTACTGTTAATTTTGGTGTGAGGGGGTGTTTGACAGAACTAACTTTATAAGTGGTTGCTTCATTAATGAACACTTTCCTTTAATGAGAACTACTCAGAAGGGCCCCTAAATACACACATACTCATGCCTGCTTCCAGGTGGCCAAGAACTTGTTAACACAGAGTTCCTAAAGGAAGCCACCAAAGAAGCAATTGTGTGAAAGGTGAAATAAGGTGAGCAGGGAGAAGACGTAATTCTCACTCTATATTTCTCTGAATATTTTTTCTTTGTATGAGCATGTACTTTGGGATTTTTAAGAATTAACACTGATACATCTCATATTCCATGCTTTCCAGACATCTATTAACACCCAGGATTAATAATCCTTTAGCTAAAAATGATACTCACCTAAAGATATGCCTTTGATATTTGAAAGGGCTTTTAGTACTCATCATAACTACTACTTGAGACTTTTCCCCCCTTTTACTTTTTTCTTAAGAGGAGGCTATAAGGGGGGGAAAACCATACAAATAAAAAACATACCTGAACTTCTCCAATTCATTGTTTCGAGATTTTTGTTTTCCTTTGTATTTTGGAGGCTGACCTGTGAATACAAAGTATTTGTTCCTGAAATCTGTTCATAAAAATCAACAAGCCTGAAAGCAAATCAATTAAAATATGTAAATTGGAATAAGCAGCAAAGGAAGCAATATTTTATGTGAGTGTAAGTACAAACAGATGAAAAAACAGCTACAATGATGTCTGTCTATGTATGCTATAAAAGTATTGTGAACATTAATTACAATTATATTATTTAGGCCTAAAGTAGATACAGAGAGATATAGGCCATAGTTCCCATTCTTAGGTTGTTTATAATCAGATGGGAAGAAAAGACAGTCACCAGTAATTACACAACAACCATCTTTAAGAAGAAGAGAAGACTGCATGTTGCTACTGACATATAAATTCCATATTAACTGCTCTTATAACTCAGAGGTGGAAATCACTTAAGGTCGAGTGGCCAGGAAAAGCCTTAGTGGGGGTGCAGCATTTGTATTTAGTTTTAAGAAAAAAGTAGGATTTGGGGCACCTGGGAGGCTCAGTCAGTTAAGCATCAGACTTTGGCTCAGGTCATGATTTCAGGGTTCTGGGATGGAGCCCCACAGTGGGCTTCGTGCTCAGCGAGGAGTCTGCTTGTCTCTTTCCCTCTGCCTCTTCCCCCACTCATACTCGCTCTCTCTCAAATAAATAAATAAAAATCTTAAGAGAAAAAGAAAGAAACAAACAGACAAACAAGTAGGATTTGGATAGCATGGGCCAAACCCAAGAATGACATTCACTTTAAGAAACACTAAGTAAACCTGTGTGATCTGGTGAGTTGGGTAAGAAGGTTAGAAAGGGGCAGTGAAGGCCAGCTGGAGTGAGTGCTCATGAGTCCTTTGCTTCCGACACTCCAGCTCTGTGAGCCCAGCCTTTGTCCCACTGGCAAGAGCAGGGACTACTGCGTACTTTGGAGTGGGAGGGCCATGCACAAAGTTATGTAGAAAAAAGCACAGGGACAGGGTCTTTTTGATGGAAGCTTTGGGAAGAGAAAGCAGAGGCAAGTCAGAACCTCTGTATTAAGGAGGGGATCAGAGCCAAGCTGGTTTGGACGGCCTCAGAAAACAAAAGAGGCTTCCAGAAAGGCAGAAGAGTTCTAATTTGATTCCTGCTGTCTGATTTCAGGCAAAACTACACAGCCCTAACCCTGGGACCTCAATTTCTTTGACTGAATACAGATGCTAAAGTGTGGATGGTATTTAAAGTATTTACTTAAATGTGCTATCTGATAATAACAGCCTAAGAAATATCAATAAATTAAAAGGTGTTTTCCAAAAGAAAAGTTTTATCTTCAGAGATTTTTCATGTGCTATTAGACTTATTACATCAAGTAAGACAATCACCTGAGTCTCCCTCTTCATAATTTTCCAATGTGCTAATCAAATGGGAATGGCCAGTGGTAAATAGCTGGATTTGTGGCACTGAAGCCTAAGAAAAGACAGAACTGTGGGAAGCAAAAGACAGAAATGGCTGCCAGAAGCAGAAACACTGAAAAGAAAACAAACAAGCCAGGGGCGCCTGGGTGGCTCAGTCGTTAAGCGTCTGCCTTCGGCTCAGGTCATGATCCCAGGGTCCTGGGATTGAGCCCCGCATCAGGCTCCCTGCTCCGTGGGAAGCCTGCTTCTCCCTCTCCCACTCCCCTGCTTGTGTTCCCTCTCTTGCTATGTCTCTCTCTGTCAAATAATTAAAAAAAAATCTTTAAAAAGAAAACAAACAAGCCAACAAACAAGAAAAAGGAAAAGAGATCACTAACAAGATCATGAATCAGGTCAGCAATCTCACCCCAATAACCTCTGAAAGCTTCAAACAAAAAATTTGTATCCAACAGCAACCTTGAGTCATCAAGAAAATCTGTATTTTTCAAAAGTCTGTTTCAGGAGTCCGGGAAGCATATAATCTACTTTAGAATGATTTTCAACAAAATGTGGTCATGTAAAGGGAGACTGAGAAATAAATGGAACATGAATGTTCGCTTCTCTGGACCCTTCATTTCCAAATGATGCCAAGTAAATGAAGTCCCGCTGTATGTCCGTGTATCTACTAGATGCAGAAACAGACGTATGCACTAAGCATGTACTAGTTAAACTAGTATCAGCCTAAAGCATCCATTCTCAACATCACCCCCAACAGGGTGAAAGTTAGTTATTAGGAGATAAAAAAAAAAAAATCTAACTTTCTAAATATATAAAGCACAGATGTACATACAGGACATAAACAGTTAAACGGTATCTGTAGTAGGAGGGTAAACAGGAAAAAAATACATCTAAAAAGTCTCCTAGGTCAGGGAGCTTTAATGAAATTAAAGTTGAAAAACACTGGCCGCACAGAAATTAGGTAACAGACCAAAAAGAGTTTCATCCTCCCTTTCTATTCCATTTACCTGAATTTCCAAAATTAAATTTATTTAATATGGAAAGACTGAGCGCTGATTTCAAGTAAGTATTCAATATTTTCCTAACACAGAAGCATTATAAAGTAAAAGGAGAGTAACAGCACATGTATGCAAGGCTCGTGCAAATGTTGGGGCTGGAGTTTTAGGAATGCTATATTAATTCAGGAAAAACTTATGTAAGGAAAAAACTTACCTGATGGTGGTAGAAATTCAGGATGACAGTCACAATCATCTACCTTCAAAGCTTCATCTACCACCTACCCATGAAAACAAAATTCATGAGATTTTCAAAAAAATAAAGCCATAAAGAATTCAATTAACTAAATAATAAAAAAAGAGTAGAACAGAATTTAACCAAGTGCCTAAAATAACCAGCTGGTAATTAGGCCTAAATGAATAAACACACAAAATGATAACTAGTGATAAGAGATTCTAATAAGACAAATTCTCTAATGGTAATTCTACTTCCAACACTTGGCATGATGCCTGACAGGTCTATTGTTCAATAAGTGTACTGAATAAATATTATTGCATCTTTCCTTATGCTCCTCTCCCTAACTGAATACAGCCTCTGAGATTTTCACTAACAATAAAAGGACTACACAGTGAGTTGGAAAAGCTCCCTTAAATGCCTACTAGCCACATACCAAAATACCATTTCCTTTTTTCCCTCGCAAATTCTGGAAAGAAATATTAACGTGGACTTGGTGATAACTGCCGAGTTTTTAGTATATTACTGTTCAGAGGAAAACTCAGATTCAGGTCATTTAGGATACCCAACACAGAGCCAGGCTAAAAGGCCTAGAGGTGCCCTCAGAAACCATGAGGCCTGGGTGCTGGTGAGCACAGCAGGGAGTCAAGGCTAGGGACCACTGCTGCAGAAATGCCTTGGGCAGAGATGGGGAGGGCGTGCCTCCCCTCACACAAGTTGGGTGGGCAGCCTCGTGTGGTGCCAGGCAGCCAAGCTGATTGCAAAAGGAAGGAAAAGAAAAATCCGAAGCACTGTAAGGAGTGGGATGACGTGGTCCCCAGACCCCGCTGTCACTCATTCCCAAGTAGCTGTTTGACTGACAGATACATAAAGCAGGAAAAGCATACAAAAAGAACTATCCAAGTAGTAAAATGAAATTTAGAAAAAAAAATTTTGAAAACACACCAATGTGATTTCAAAAGAAACTATGTGATATTGAAATATTCTCTTCATGTAGTTGAAGGAGGTAGCTGGGATATTTATTAAAAAGAGAGAATCATTCTTTTCATATCAGAGGCAAAAAGGGATTCATATCACCAAAATATTTAATTTCCATTATCACCGGAATACTACTGTAAAAACATGAGACTATCCATACTTGAAATCATTTAATTTTAGTTTTTAACTGAACCTACCTTTAGATTCTGATTACCACCGTTTGCCATTTCGTGGTTAGTTTTTCTGCAATCTTTTTCGGTTTCCACAAAGTTAAGTGAAGTACTAAACGCAGGTGCTGATAAACTGGGTATATAGGCCCTGAAGGGAAATAAGAGAAAAATAATTTTATTTCTGTTGATTAGCATGCATTTTTAAAAAATTATCCTTCAAATAAATAGGTTCCAGCAAATACCACCTTTTTTCCTTGAAAGCAGGGTAATACTGTTTTAAAAAGGATCTGCCTCTGAGATTGGGCTTTAAACAAATATTGCTTTAAATTTCATAGTAAAAACTCAAAATAGATTAAAAACAGTTCAATGTATTCTGGTTTCTAATATTAAAATAAGTTAAAATAAATTCTCCCTGATTTAAATTTAACAGCTTCAATATCTTAGGCATCTAAAGCATGTGGGGGAAAAAAATCTATTTTAATTGCCAAGCAATAAATGTAGAACCCTGGCTGCTATTTGTTTTCTTGTGAGTGTATCGAATCTGTCATCTATTTCTGACAGAAAGTGTCCTAGTCTTTGAAAAGATACTGGGAGGCTGGCGGCAGATGCTTCCAAGACAGAGGCTAAGGGTTAAAGGTACAGACTGTGTCCCTGCTCTCTGCTGCCAGGACCCTCTTGCAAAAACTGCACCCAAGCACAGTGACATCCACTTAACATTTCACCCACCTTTTCCCATAGGCTTAGGCTACTGATCTCCCATAAATACACATACAAATGGTTCAGTAAAACAGTCCAGAAAACAAATCTGACAATTCACAGGTCACCTGATCTTAGACCCAAACCCCTCTTCCTTCCCTCCCCAACTTTACTGTGGTTGCTATTAGCTACAAAGCATCAGATACAGTGATTCTTAAACTTACAGGGAAAAGCCATCCCAAGTAACAGCTACTGATCTGATTGGCATTAACTCACCTGCTTTCATAGAAGGCTTTAATTGGATTTCTAGTTGGTGTTCGACCTATAAAAATCAATCACACATGCAAGGTAATCAGTGGATTGGCAACACATACTTTGAAGAGATTTTCAAATACCCTTTAAGCTGACAGTAAGAACATCAAATTTACAGAACTGAAAAATAAACCTAAATTATTTTATATTTTCAGATGTTTTGAGTTTTAGGATGGCTTCAGCAAAATGTTACACAGCCTTATTTGACATCCCATTACATGTGATCATTGACTAGATGCAGCAGTATATAAATCTGAATCAGAGACGGTACCTGTCTTCAAGGAGCTCACAATCTTATAATCATGTTATGTTGGATAATAACATCTCAGCTTCCTGAGACACTAAATACCCAAAGAAGAAAAAACAGGAAAGACCTATATGCTGAAAGTATAGAGTAAGGGAATTTCAGGCATTGGAGAAAGCAAAATACTTAGAAGAGAAAACAAGAGAATGAAAATTTAGAATTCCTAGCCCACACAGCTGATTTCTGATATATGTATATGTACCCACATACAGATGTATGCAAAAATGTTCAGCATGCTATAGAATGAGCCACACACTTGGTGCAAAAACATCAAACAACTCTACTGAAAGGTCTTTAAGAAATAACCATAATGGAGGAAAAAATTTTAAACAATTTTGTTTCCAAAGTCTTCACTTTATCCAAAATCTCAAGGTGGCATATTTTACTACAGAAGAATAAATAATAATTTGTTGTTTCAAATAAAAAATACAAATCATTTATAATTACCTAGTGGAATATAACACTAACGTACTTCTACATAGACAGAAATGGAAAACTTCAGTGACTTGACCAAGATAATGTAACAAAATAAGCACAAATCACCTGAGAGTTGATTTATGGTCCTCCATTAATCCAAGAAACCCACCTTCAAAAGTTTTAAAGGGAATTCGACTGTAACCAAAGAATCTTAGGTGAAATACCTTGCAGGTCTTCTATTTGTTTTTGTAACTTTACATGCTGCTGAATTAGATCCTTGATTCCCTCAGGGTCATTTTTACAGAGTTTTTGAGCTTTTATGTTTGCTTGTAGGGCCCAGTCATATTCCCCCAGCATAGAAAGAGCAGCACAATAACGATAATGACCCTGTTCCAAAAGATAAATTTAATTTTTTTCTCAAAAATATGCTTAAGTTAAAGAAAATAGATAAGGAAAAATATTTTGCTTGAAAACTGATTACTTAAAATGTTAGATTAGGATCCTATCAATGAAAAATTTTTTAAAATGTTAATACCTCTCAGGAAATAAAATTACCTAAATGAGCCAAAGTGAAGTTATGAATGAATAGTATTTATAATAATTTTAACTAGAGATCAGTATTTTTGCTTAAGAGATTTTTGTACCCCAAAGAAAATAATTCAACCTTTATTATATTTTACAAGTAAAGAATGAAATATATTATTTTGTGCCAAATAAAGTAACACAAACCATTCATTATAATTTTTTTCAAAATATTTTAAGGCAGTAATAATCTCTAAGTCATTACATTCCCTACACTTTGGAAATCAAACAAATTTTAGAGCTGGAAGGAACAATCAGCTTACACAGTCGTTTTCCAACCCCTCTGAAAAGCATGGTCACAGATAGGGGGTGCATCTAGGCTAGATCTTCCATTCAGCTTGCTCTTAATCAGTTTTTAATTATTTTATTTCTAAGTGTAGTTCTTGGCTTTAAGAAAAGGTCTGAAAACCACTGATTTACTCAATTCCAATGATCAGGGTTTTTGTTTTGTTTGCTACAGAACCACAGTCCTGGCTGGCCCCATTTATGCATTTTGGGAAATCTTCTATCTCAAGGATGAACATTTTAATCTAGAAAGCTAATATTACCAAACCTGGGGCTAACTCAATCACCCCCTCTTCTAGCTACTCACAAACTGATCTCCCATTGTAGGCAGAGTATCTCCACTTGAGAATTGACTTTCCCATGAGAGATGCTAGAAACTGGCCTAATGTCACACTTATTTAGAGGCAAACCAAAGAATCCTGACCTTATGACTCCAGGTCCAGAGCTTTTTCCTCCTTACTACAGATTTTACAAAGAACATTCTCATTCTATGAGAAACTACTAAATCAGAAATAAGTGACCTTTTTAAGAAAGATGAGCTTTTCACCATATGATCCAGCAATTGCACTACTGGGTATTTACCCCAAAGATACAAAAGGAGGGATTCGAAGGGGTACGTGCACCCCGATGTTTATAGCAGCAATGTCCACAATAGCCAAACTGTGGAAAGAGCCAAGATGTCCATCGACAGATGATTGGATAAAGAAGATGTGGTATATATATACAATGGAATATTATGCAGCCATCAAAAGGAATGAGATCTTGCCATTTGCAACGACGTGGATGGAACTGGAGGGTATTATGTTGAGTGAAATAAGTCAAACAGAGAAAGACATGTATCATATGATCTCACTGATATGAGGAATTCTTAATCGCAGGAAACAAACTGAGTGTTGTTGGAGTGGGGGGTGGGGTGGGAGGGATGGGGTGACTGGGTGATAGACACTGGGGAGGGTATGTGCTCTGTTAAGCGCTGTGAATTGTGCAAGACTGTTGAATCTCAGATCTGTACCTCTGAAACAAATAATGCAATATATGTTAAGAAAAAAAAAAAGAAGAAGAAGAAGGTAGCGGGAGGGGAAGAATGAAGTGGGGGAAATCGGAGGGGTAGACGAACCATGAGAGACTATGGACTCTGAAAAACAAACAGGGTTCTAGAGGGGAGGGGGGTGGGAGGATGGGTTAGCCTGGTGGTGGGTATTGAGGAGGGCACGTTCTGCATGGAGTACTGGGTGTTATGCACAAACAATGAATCATGGAACACTTCATCTAAAACTAATGATGTAATGTATGGGGATTAACATAAGAATAAAAAAATAAATTAATTAAAAAAAAAAAAAAAAGATGAGCTTTTCACTAAAAAAAGGCCAGAAACAACCACAGGAACCTTTAGTTATGCAGGTTTGATACACATATAATCCTGCTCTCGTGCACCAACCCAATCTGTGAGTTCTGAAGCATTTTTTTAAGCCAGACTATTTAGACTCCGATCAAAGATCCCAATGCAGACTGCATTTGTTTAAACTTTGCTTTTCCTCAAAAGGCATATGAAGACAGATCTCTCAGATATGCTACAAGACCAACATCCTATCACCCAGGACTATTCCAACTTCAAAATTAAGGTAACTACATAAAAAAAAAAAAAAAACACAGCATAAGATATATGAAAGATTATAAACCATACCTGCTAAATTTGTAGAAAACACTTTTTCTTTCTCTTCCCCATCCCGCCCCCCAACCTCCCACCTTCCTCATCTTTTGCTGGGTCCTTTTCCCTAAACTCTATAAAACCTAGCATAAAGTCTATCGGTTGAAAAATGAATTTATTCAGATCTCATTGCTGAGGTTATTTGAATGAAGCTTAAATTAAAAGGTATCTCAGAGTTTTCTGAACCCAATCACAATACAAAGTTTTGCTTTTCTTTGACATTACCTCATTCTCTATCACATATATAGAAATTCTCTGTTGTTCGTCTGCCTAGCATCCCCTCCTTTTGGTGCCACTATGTGCCTACTCCACATAGCAATGGCAGGACTGGGACTAGTGCTCCATCTCAAAAATGACTGGGGAGAAGCGTATGACCCAGGAGACTGACCAATCAAAATGCACCATTTTCCAGGTCATAGGATCAATCCACTGGTGAACACATGGCTCAATCAGGATCAGTTTGAGGCATCCTTAGGTGTACTGTATAGATACTAAAAGAAATTCTCTTGCCACTAGAATTAACAGTTATTAAGGATAACAGTTTGGGGTTCCCACTACATGGTAAAAGTCTTTTTCAAAATGAAGCCAAGAGAGCCCACACTCTCACTACCACTTGGGTCAAGATGGAGTTAACAGGGATTTGGATTTACACTCTTGCCTAAAACAAACAAACAAGGACAAAATATATGAAACAAAGGTTTGCAAGACATTGAGTGACTATCAGGCAACAAAAGAGAGTGACCCTGGAGAAACACAACACAAGCCCTGAATGGAATTTTCAGCTTACTGAATCGAATTCTAAGCCATGGCACAGGGAGAAGGAACACAGGCAGGGATTGCAGTTCTGGAGACAAGACAAGAGACCAGGAGAGCCAAGGCAGCTCAAGTTCACAGGGCAGAGGACCAGAGAGGATACTGCTCAAAGAGAACTCCAGAGATCCTCACACAGTCCCAAGTTGAGTTTTGAGGTGAGTACTAATCAGTACATGCATGTGGGACAACTACCCAAAACCCAAACCAGGGAAAGAACCACTAGAAAGACTAATAAGGAAACAACAGTCAGCACTCACACAGGGCCAGGAATAATTCCTGTTTCCACCAGCCAGAGTGGAAAACATCATAATTGATGGAGTAACAGGCAGAGTATTCAGAAGCATTTTGCTTCAGCTGTGAATAAAAAGATAGCCGTTGACCAAATACCACTATGGTCCCACCTATCAAAGCTTAAAACAAGACTCCAAAGAATTACATTGTTTCCAAGTAACTTTACTGCATCCCAAAAGGAAGCTCAAAAATATTTACATACACAAAAATATCAGTAACAATGTCTTGTATCCAATAAAAAATTACTAGGTATGCAAAGAAGGAAAATATGATCTATAAGGAAGAGAAAAATGAGTCAATTGAAAATGCTCAGAAATGACACATGACAGAATTAGTAGACAAGAATATTAGAACAGTTATTATAAACATATTCCATATATTCAAGAAGGTAAAAGAAAGACTGAAGACTGAACATATTAAGATGTGAAATACATAAAGAATACTCAAATTGAAATACTAAAGATGGAAGTTATAGCATTTAAGGTGAAAAAATACATCAGTTGAAAATTGGGGCAGATTAGACATTGCAGAAGAAAAAATCAGTGAACTCAATACAGCAATAGAACCCACCTAAAAAGAAACACAGAATGAAAAGGGAGAAAAGAGACTGAAAATAAAGCTAACAAACAGGGAAGAAAAACTGAGAAACGGGAAGAAAAATGTGTATAGATCTGGATCCAGCCATGCCTGAAGGATTATAATTCCTAGACTTTTTCAATTACATGAGCCAACTACTTAGGCCAAATCGGAGTTAGGTTTTGTCACTCACAAACAAAAGAGTCCTAATACACCCCTCAATATTAAAAGGTTCTTATGGACATCTGTGAGGCTACTGGTTTGTACGCTATATAACAATATCAAAAGGCAATGCACAGAGAAATGTCAACAAATGTCTACTGATAATACCATAAAAATTCCCACTCTTTGGGATACAATGACATACCCTCTCTTAAGCCTGAAAGCACGTGTAGGGCAGTTGGCATTGTACCAGTCTTCTCTATCTGGAAAGAAGGGAGAACAATGGCCCACCCTCACAGAAATCTACAGAAACTTTCTTATGCAGGCTTATACCCTAGAGGCATGACTCAACAGGTTTAGGCTCATAGTTAATCTCAAGTAGAAGTACAGAATGCAACTTGCACAGTTCACCTTTGCTTCTGAAGTTTAAGCTACCTTTTAATGAGCTCTTCTTTCCAGTAAAATAAAATGAAAAAATAACCTAGATGTAGTTACCACATTTTTTAAATACTAGGATTTGTGTTTTGCATCTATACAAATATTTCTGCAATCATCACAAAACATCCCTATTTAAATAAAGTGGGCGCCTGGGTGGCTCAGTCGTTAAGCATCTGCCTTCGGCTCAGGTCATGGTCCCAGGGTCCTGGGATCGAGCCCCGCATCTGGTTCCCTGCTCAGCGGGAAGCCTGCTTCTCCCTCTCCCACTCTGCCTGCTTGTGTTCCCTCTCTCGCTGTCTCTCTGTCAAATAAATAAATAAAATCTTTAAAAAAAAAAAAATAAAGTGAATGAACCCACATAAATATAGTCAACAAATATTTGACGAAGATAACAAAGGTAATACAATGAAGTAAAGACAACCTTTGCAACAGTGATGCTGGGGCAGCTACATGCAAAAAAAAAAATGAATCTAGACCTTATATTCTCCATAAAAATTAACTAAAAATGAATCACAGACCTAAATGTAAAATGCAAAAAATGGTAATGACTTTTTAGATACCATACCAAAGGCATGATCCATGAAAGAAATAACTGATAAGCTGGATTTCAAAATTAAAAACTTCTGCCCTCTGAAAGTTGCTGTCAAGAAAATGAGAAGACAAGCTACAATCAAGGAGAAAATATTTAGCAGACACATCTGATAAGGTCTTAACAGACACCTCATCAAGGAAGGTAGACAGTGGCAAATGAGCATATGAAAAGATGCTCCACATCATATGTCATTAGGGAAATGCAAGTTAAAACGAAATACTACTATACACCTATTAGGAAGGCCAAAATTCAGGACACATGCTATTAAAACAACACTACAATGACCACAAGGGACATTGTGCCAAGGAGGATATGGAACAGCAGGAACTCTCACTTGTGGCTGGTGGGAATGCAAAACGGTATAGCCACTTTGGAAAACAGTTTGGCATTTCCTTAAAAAACTACACATATTCTTGTTGCTCAGTCAGTTAAGCACCTGCTTTCAGCTCATGTCATAATTCCAGGGTCCTGGGATTGAGCTCTGTGCCAAGCTCCCCCTGCTCAGTGGGGCGTCTGCTTCTCCCTCTCCCCCCTGCTCATGCTCTCTCGCTACCTCTATCCTATCTCTGCCTCTCTCTCTCAAATAAATAAAATCTTAAAACAAAAAAAACAAAACTAGGGGCACCTGGGTGGGCATCTGCCTTCAGCTCAGGTCATGATCCCAGGATCCCAGGATTGAGCCCCACATCAGGCTCCCTGCTCGGTGGGGAGTGTGCTTCTCCTTCTCCCTCTGCCCCTCCCCCAGCTCCTCTCTCTCTCTGTCTCTCTCTCTGTCTCTCTCAAATAAATTAAAAACAAAAACTAAACATATTCTTGTCATATGATCCAGCAATCCTACTCCTTGGTAATTACCCAAAAGAGTTGAAAACATGTCAACACAAAACCCTGTACATAGGTATTCATATCAGCTTTATTCAAAATGGCCAAAAGTTGAAAGCAACGAAAATATCCTTCAGTAGGGGCTCCTGGGTGGCTCAGTTAAGCATCTGCCTTCAGCTCAGGTCATGATCCAGGGATCTTGGGATCGAGCCCCACAGGGAGCCTACTTCTCTCTCTCCCCTCTGCTGGTGCTCTCTCTCGCTATCTTTCTCTCAAATAAATAAATAAAATCTTTAAAAAAAAAGTGTCCTTCAGTAGGTGAATGAATAAATCAACTGGCGCATCCAGACAATGTAATATTATTCAGCACGAAAAAGAAATCATCAAGGCATGAAAAGACATGGCGGAAACTTAAACGCATATTATTAAGTGAAAGAGAAGGCTATCTGAGAAGGCTATATACTGTATGATTCAAACTCTGACATCCTGGAAAAGGTAAAACTGATGGAGATAGTAAAAAGATCAGTGGTTGCAGGGGTTTGGATAGGCAGATCAGAGGATTTGGGGGAACAGTGAAAATATTCTGTATAAATCATAATGATGGATAAATGTCATTACACATTTGTCCAAACACACAGAATGCGTAACACTTAGGGAATGAATCCTAAGATAAACTATGGACCTTGGATGATTATAACGTGTCTGTGTAGGTTCATCAATTTTCAAATTATACCACTCAGCTGGGGGATACTGATAACAGGGGAGTATATGCATGTGTGGGGGTTTATGGGAGGTTACCTTCCTCTTAATTTTGCTGTGAACCTAAATCTGCTCTAAAAAAATTGTTTTTTAGAAAGTGAAAATTTTCTGTTCAATAAATCAAGCCAGGAATAAACATTCTACACGAAGTCCTCAATGCAATTCAGAATATTTTAGTATTCTTTTTTTTTTCTAAATTGATAATAGAAAATTCAAAGGTAACTCTAGAACACTAACTTCAGGGTCTGGGTTTCAGTATTAAGAATTCTATCAGGGCGCCTGGGTGGCTCAGTCGTTAAGCGTCTGCCGTCGGCTCAGGTCATGATCCCAGGGTCCTGGGATGGAGCCCCACATCGGGCTCCCTGCTCCGCGGGAAGCCTGCTTCTCCCTCTCCCACTCCCCCTGCTTGTGTTCCCTCTCTCGCTCTGTCTCTCTCTGTCAAATAAATAAATAAAATCTTTAAAAAAAAATAAAAAGAATTCTATCATCCACAGAATAAGTATTTATGGAGCAAATGACAAATGCTAGGTTCAGTGATCAACAAAGATTCTGTATCAAGCACAACAAATTGATCACTCTCAAAGAGAAGCACATCCAATGCTGGATTCTAAATCCAGTTTTGTCTTTTACTTGCAAAAGTCACTTTACTTTTCTGGGACTCAATCTCTTCATCTGTAAAATGAGGCATTTAAAAACGGACTCCAAAATCTGGATGCAGGAGTCCACCTGGGGAATTTCACAATCCCCAGTCTCCTCAGCCACATGAATCATAATTTGGGGGGGGCTCTAAAATTCTATGAGTAATACTCACTTTGATTTAAAAACAAATTACATAAAGCCAGGAATGAAGTCTGAAACATGTATCTTTCTATGTCTTATTTGAAGCTCTACTTTAAAAAAAAGTCGGGTATTTTTGTGATTTAGGAAAATACAGTGATTAATATCACAAACACCCAGAACTAATTGCTAACATTTTGCTGTATTTGTTTTAGATTTTTTACTAGAAGAAATAAAACCATACAAATATGGCTGAAATCTTCTTTGTACCCTCTCTCATCTTTCCTTCTCTAACTGCCCAGAAACAAACATTACCCTGAGTTTGATAGGTATCTTTCTGGCCTATAATACGCTTTTACTGATTTTTTTCATTCAACGCTATTTTTTAAATCTATAAATGCTGATAAACCAGTTAACTTATTCCAACTGCAAGCTAGTAATCGGTTCGTTCATTCACCAAGTCAACAGATATTTACTAGTAAGTGCTTGTTATATGCCAAGCAGCTTGTCAGGCAGGCCAGATGCAATAGTGAACCGACCAAACAAAAAGATCCGTCCTCATGGATCTCACATTGTATGGGAGGACACACAATAATAATACACACAGTATGTTCAATAATGTTAAATGCCAAGAGGAAAAAAGTGAGCAAGGAAAGAGGGTAGCAAATGTCTAGACAGGGGTAGCCTTGGCATTTTAGTAATGTGGCCAAGAAGTTTTCACTGAGAAGACTTCCAGTAAAACATGAAAGGAAGTAAGGGAGCTAGCTCAGGCTCTGGGAAAAGGCATTCTAATTCTAGGCAGAGAGAAGAACAACCACAAACTGGGAGTGGGCCTGGCATATATAAGGAACAGCTGAGGAGGCCAACAGGTCAACACAGAGTGAACAAGGGAGAGAACAGTAGGAGTGAGGTCAGAGACATAATGGGTGTTTAGGGAAGAGGGAAAGATCAGATCAGAGGCACAACTCTGATCAAGTGAAAATACCATATCCATCCCTGTTTTATCAGTGGATATGCAGGTATCTGCAGTTCTATGCTGTTAAAACAGCATTGCCATGGCCACTTTGCGTATCTCACCATGGGTACATATTGCAAGAACGTCTGTGGGGTACACACACTTAGAATCCAATAATTACGGCATATACACATCATAGCGCTCTCCAGGTTGGTTGCAACCAATTCTCACCCACTGGTTTATGGAAGGTTCCTGTTAGTACACACATTCACCAATACCTGAGACTACTGGTCTCTAATTTTTGCCAATCTAAAGGACCTAAACGATATCACATTGCTTTACTTACTTACTTATGTACATGTAGGTCTGTTTGGAAGCTCTCTATTCTGCTCTCTTGGTTTTTTCTATGTATAATTTTAAGTGCTAGGAAATAGAACATAGTTTATTTCTACTGCCCATTCAGATTTCTCTTCTATGAAATGCTTGTTTATTCACTTGCCCATTTTCTACTGGGTTTATTTATTATAGCTCTTTGCATATTCTGGATATAAATCCTATCAGTTATATATGTTATCTATATGACAAATTATCTCCTCCCAGATTATGATTTCATTCATGGTGTCTTTTGACATACAGAAGTTTTTCAGTTGGATATAGTCAAATTTATGTGCCCCCCCACACTGATTTGTGCACTATATGTTATTTAACAAATCCTTTTGCACCTCAAGGTTGTAAAGACAGTCTCCTATAATTCTTCTAAGTTTTAAGTTTCACTTTTCATAGTAAGGTCTTTAACCCATCCAAAATATGCAGATGCTGACATCTCAGTCACTAAGGTACCCTCCAGCTCCTCAACAATTCTACGTGCTACTTGTCCTGCTCAGAAACGCATGTTCTCTCACTGCTGTGTTAAGTCTCCTTTCTGATTATGGAACTGAAGACTCCCCTCTCACATTCTTGAGCTTGGCATAATTTTATCCAGCATTTTTACATATAAATTCACATCCTGTACACAGATTTTTCACAAAGTTATATGGCATTACCTGCCCAATGTAAAGATAAAAGCAACCTACCTTTGTCCAATTGCTCTTCAGGATAATGGCTCTCTTTCCATCACCAAGTGCATTTCTAAAAAGAAAAACAAGAAATATTCATTTTTTTTTTCATAAAGGCATTATAAATTGTGTATCTATTTGTACTTCTTGAATTTTCCAGAAATAACCTAGTTAAAAATAACTTTTTAATTTTTAAAAATCCATATATGTCCATTATAGGAAATTTGGAAAATACAGAAAAGTAAAACAAAAGGAAAAAGTCACCCAGAGTTACAATCACAACTACCCAGGAATAACTACTTTTCAAATTTCTGGAGTATTTCCTCCACATATCTTATCTACGTCTCACTTGTTATTACCTACATAGTTTTTCTGCACTATTTTTGCATGTCAGCAAGACTTCTGATCTCCAAAAAGATAACTCCCAGATCTTGCACACATCAGCTAAACTGCAGTGGACAGAGCAAAGAAGTTGAGACACAGATGGGAGTTAAGTTCAATACAATCACTAACTCTCCTCGGGACTGTTTAGGAAGTTATTAACCTCTCAGGCCCGCTTTCCCATATGTAAAATGAGGATGATAATTCTAATTAGTTTAAGCCAGCCATGGCAATATCACTTTCCTTTCTACTAACTGGTTTGGGGGTAGTCATATGACCCAGTGCTGGCCAATGAGAGCTAAGAGGACTCATCACTCTTAAAAAAAGATTACAAGGAAGAACAAAACTAGGTAACTTACACTACCAGAGAGCAGTACCTACTAAAAGACTATATATAGTTAAAAAAAAAAAAAAGTCTATCCAAAGATAGATGACCTGACCAACAGATTTGGATAAACAAATCAGAAACAGATGCTTACATACAGTCACCTGATCTATATGACAAAATGCAGTGCATGGAGAAAACATATTCTCAAGAAAGAGTGATGAATCAATTAGACATTCATACCCATCTTGAATCGTACCTCTCACTAAATGCAAAGTTAATCAAGCTTTTAAAAGAAACACAGAACATTCTGGTAATGTTAGAGAAGGCAAAGATTATAAACAGAACCCCAAAAGTGCTTATCATAATGGAAAAAACTGATGAACGGTACTGTTATAGTTAGCATCATCCATTTGTAAAAAAAAAACAAAACACAAAAGTGAAAAGGCAAGCCACAGAATGTGAGAAGCTATTTGTAATGCATGTATTTGACCAGTGACTCAAATCCAAAAAAATTTTTTAAACCTAATGAACAGGACATTCAACTCAAAAGAAAAAAAATAGCAAAAGATCCAAACAGGCACTTCACAAAAGAGAATATCCAAGTGGTCAATAAGCATACAAAAAGATGCTCAACTTAATATCCTTAATCGACTTAAGGAAATCCAAATTAAAATCTCAGCACTGCATCACTACATACCCATCAGAATGTCTAAATGAAATGACAAAAAATAAGTGTTAGTGAGGACATGGAACTGAAACTCTCATATGCTGCTGGCAGGAGTGTAAAACAATACAACCATATAGGAAATTATGTATGAAAGTTGAATATAAGCATACCTTCGTCCCAGCAACTCCACTCCTTAATTAGATTCTCAAAAGAAATGAATACATATGTTCACAATGATACTATCTGTAAAAGCCAAATACTAGAAACTACCCAAATGTCCATCAACATTAGAATGGATAAAATGTGGTATATTCATGCAATAGATGAAAACTGTACAACTCCATGCAACAATATGGATCTTGAAAACAATGCTGAATGCTAAACATAAAAGAGCACATACCATGACTGTTTACATTGCACAAAAACAGGCAAAACTAATCCATTGCGTTGGAAAATGGGATAATAGTTAACCTGGGGAAGAAGGTGGGTAGACTAGGAGGAGGAACAAGGGGGACCTTCAGGGGTACTGGGGTTGTGATCTGGGTACCAATAACATGTGTAAGGTTTCTGAAAATTCAACCTATAAACTTATGAATTGTACACTTTGCAGTATGTGTATTTTTTTTGAAGATTACAAGAGTCATTCTTTTGCTGGAGGCTGTAATGTCCAGTTTAATATCTGAATTACAGTAGCCAGAGGAGGCAGCCTGAGGTCCAAGTCACACAGAGGCACCAGAAAAATCCTAGGTCTTTGATGACATTGTTGAGGCACTAAATATACAACCCTAGAGCCACCTTCTTCTGGACTTCTTGAATGAGGTTAAGTTTTCTTCACCATTTAATCAGGGTTTTCTGTTATTGGCAACCAAACACATCCTAATACAATGGCACACCTCGTCTCCCCACTGCTTCCCTCCGCGAATACTTTCAACAACTGCCTATACTGTTTCCATTTCCTCTCATCTCAACCCACTCCAACCCAGGATCCACAAGCTTCCCATACACAGCTCTCCCTATGGTAACTAAAAGATGTCCATATTGCTCAGTCTAAATTGCATTTGGCTTCTCAGCAGCAACAGGCACTACTGGTCACTCTTTCTCTTCCTTCCATGATGTCACACCTCTAGTTTTCCTCCTACCTCTCTGGGTTGTCTTCCACGCAGGTTCATCTTCCCTTAAATGGCCACTATTTGTGTCCCTCAAGGCTCAGTCCTAGTTTTCAGCTTGCTCTACACAGTGGGTCTCAACCTTGGCTACACATGAGTACCATCTGGGGGGCTGCTAGAAGCCTAATGCCCAATTAATTAAATCAAAATCTCTGAGTTGGGGGTATTTCTTCCAAGGTCAATTCCAGGGTGCAGTAAAAGTTGAGAACCGCCTCCCCAAGCAATCTCATCCACATTTGCAACTTCAAATCATCTAGGTTAACTACCCCAAATATGCGTCTCTTGTTCAAATATCTCCTTGGAGTCCCAGACCCACATAATTCATTGCCAATGTGAAATTCCAAGTGGGATCCTTCAAGGACACTTCAACTCAGGATGTCCAGGAGTGAAGTCAAGTTCTACTTCCTACAAATGTATCTTTTCCAGTGATCCCAGTGTTAGGGAGTGAGCCTATAATCCATGAAGTGGCTGAAGGCAGAGAGTTCATAATTCCAAACACCAAACCACAAACAACCTCCGTCCATTTTACCTCCAAAATATCTCAAATCCTTCCACTTCTCCATTTCCACTACCATTACCCTGCTCTAAGCTACCATCCCTCTGGCCTAGAGTACTGCAACAGCCTCCTAACCCAATTCATGCTACATCTCCTCCAAACCCATTCTCCTCACTACAACCAGATTGATCTTTCTAAGGTACTAATCCTGCCATCTCACCTCAATTTAAAATCCTTTACTTACTTCTTGATGCTCTTCAAGGCCACAGTTATGTAGCCTACAAGACCCTCCTTAATCTAGTCCCTGACTACCACTCACTCCCCTCCTTCTCTGTATTCAGGCCACCCAGCACACTATTAATTCCATGAATGCAAGATCCTCCCTTCCACTGCTGGCCCACTGTCTAGAATACAGCTGTGTCTGGTTTTGCTCATTTCTGACATAGCTAGAAGCAGAACTCCAATCATACTTACTGAATCAATGTTAAATGTTATTAATTAACATACAATACGATAACCACTACAATAACTGTAGTTACAATCAATACATTATTAATACCATACATATTAGTGTGTGTATACACTATATAAATATAAATATAATATAAATATAAATAAAAACACTAACATATTTTCACATTTACTAGCATATGACCACATCCTCCTACTAAAACAAAGTGGGCATAATAAATTACATGGTGTGACTGCTCATCCAACCTAGTGCAGCAGAGGTGTACATACTCTGGAGAGCAGGTATGACTTTAGCAACAGTGGTACATCTGCACAATACATTTATGAAAATAGGAAAACTCAAGAGATGCAAATGGTTACTCTTGAAGACTATGTGACAAAATGGTGAGAGTACTGAACAGAGGGCAAGAAAAAATATTCTAGCCTAGATGCTCCAACGGAACACATGTTACTTGGGGAAGTATTATTTCTCCAGCCCTCTCACCTATTTCTTCATATATGATATGGCACATTTTGCCCTAAAATATGTTAGGAGTGAATACATATTTCTCCCTCCTCCAGCTTCCATGTGGATTTGCTAGATTAATCATTTTTGAGCTCTCTCCTTTCCCACCCCTAACTTTTCCCGAGGATGAATAATGGTGGGAAGGGGCACTAATCATTTGTGGTTTAGCCTCTTCTTTTTCTCACTCTTTGGAATCTTACACTGAACACCATCATAATACCAGATTCCCTTTCCTCCAAGCTTAAAGTTCACAAAGGTCCCTGTTACCAGTTCTCTCTGTGACCACGGGTGAACTAACAAGTCAGTTGGCTATCAGACTGCTCAGATAAGGCCCTACTCTCCAAACACTGTGTCATCACCAGAGGCAAGACTAGATCACCATTTGCCTTGTCTTCCATTTCTATTTCTTAACTGATTCTGGACTTGGAAAGAAAAGAAGATGCTATTTACTGACTCTCTCAAATCACAGTATATATAAGAACTTCACAATACATAAAAGGATTATCACTTTTTTTCTTCCCTATTGTAAATCATCACTTTTAGGGCCTGACCAGACCAACAAAGAAATAATGCTACTCCCCAAATTCCTAGATCTTACAATGAAGCAACAAAAGCAGAATTCAGATGTAATGGTCAGTTACTGCCAAATATGCAGTGACTGATAACCATCAAATGAATAAACATATACATTTAAATCAAAAGTTAGTGTCTGGAATTAAAATTACATAAGCTCTGGGGCGCCTGGGCAGTTAAGCAGCTGCCTTTGGCTCAGGTCATGATCCTAGGATCCTGGGATGGAGCTCCCCATCGGGCTCCCTGCTCAGCAGGGAGCCTGCTTCTCCTCTCCCTCTGCCTGCCGCTCTGCCTACTTGTGCGCTATCAAATAAATTTAAAAAATAAAATCTTAAAAAAAAACTACATAAGCTCTTTCTCCAAGTAAAAGCAATCAGGAATTTACCTACAGATATACTTGCACCTGAGTGTAGAACGTAAGTAAAAAGATAATCATTACAAAGCTGTATGTAATTTTTTTAAACTGGAAATAATTTATATTCTAAT